CAAATGGATTAACAAACCCGGCCCAATCGAGTTATGTAAAAATTCATAATTTATTAACTCCGGAAGCACGTGTTTCTGTACAATTACCTTCGCATCCGCGTGGAACGGACTTTACAGCTTCCGGTTATCTTCGATGTTTTCCCTCATTTCTGGACACGTCCAAAAGGGATTGCATTTTGCATTCGCGGAAAATGTAACGGGCGAATATTTACGAAGCATTTTGAGGCATCAAAAAATCTTTTTCAATCTCTATGTTCTACATAAAGATCTAAAGCTATGTGTTATACGTACGTATGTAAATCCTACATACATAACTAGACCAGCTAAACCGATTACGACCATTTACGAAATATCGTATGACTGCTGGAAAGGGGAGCATGCGCAGAGTGCTTCTTCTCAATTTTTACACTTTTATGGGAAATGTGAGGAAAAGTTGCTATTGTTTTATAGCTTGTCAAACTGTCGTGATCTTTAGAGTCGTCCAAGTTTATTGACAAACTCGTCGCTTTGAGTGATAAAAATTATAACATATCCTGAATTTTCCCAAAGTTGTTCTTATGAATTAAAAACATTAATTTTCGTAATCACTGAAAATATGGAATACTGAACCGCACCGATTTCCGCAAGGGTGAAAATATACCCTCCGTGACAGAGTTAATAAAGAGCGTTCCCCTGCAACTGAAAATGCATTCTCTAAATACCTCCGATCGTCGGCTTGTCCGGTGCGTTCTTGTCAGAAGGAACGACCAGAGAGAAGACTTGAATGACGGGGCTTGCAGAAGAACGTACGGCGTCACGTGACGACCTCCGATCTCTGCCATGAACATCGAACGCCCGCGATTTGGACCGACTTCTCCGCGCATCGGCTTACGTTGGCATTGCGCGAATAGTTCGGCGACTCTTCGGTATCCGCCGACCACTGTTTATTGCATACCGATGCCAAACACCGGGAACCATCTCGGACGAGGCATGACGGCGAGGATCGTTTCCAAGTCTCGATCATCCCACGGTAGGACCGGAAGGAAAGATATCGGAATGTCAGGACGCAACGAGCCGTGGATCTAACGGCTCCTGAATGCTGCGGAGTCCAAGCCGTCCAAGGAATCCCGGGACGACATAATGCCTTTTAAAATCTTAAAGCGTGTCTGGCGAACTGATTCATGCGACGATGTGGAAATACGGTCGATGCTTAGGCTTGATGACTCAATTTATCTATGTGATTTGAACACGGAAAGACCTAAGTCTTTTTTAAGTAATGTTTTAAGATGCTGGCTCTCTGATCGATTCGCATGTCAGCTTATGATTGTACTTGAGATAATCTAAAGTGGCGATCTACAATGAAATTTTAAGGCATAAAATTTAAGCTTAAATCTTAAACCGTAAGAAATTATTTAATTATAATCGATTATTCTTACTTTTAATTGTGACTGATTAATTTCTTGTAGCTTCGGCTTTTAAACTAAAGCTTTATGATTTAAAATCACATTGTAGATGCCACTTTAAATATAAAACTCGGCTATGGATGCCGGCTAAAATGTCGTAACATTTTAATTTATTTAATTGAAACGTTTCCTATTTTGTCACATTTTCTCATGCGTTTGCGCCGAAGCTTCTTGTTACGCGGCGCATTTTGTATCGACCCGTAGAGAGGAAGCGGACTCTCGGACGCAGCGGGTTACGATGAGCGTAATATATCCGAGTGAACGTTCGTTTGTGGAGAATGAAGAAAGAAGCGAGTAGATACCACGAGCGTCAAATGGTCGGGGATAAAAAGACGAGCTACAATGGCACGATGAATGTCCAAGACCGATAACGTGCTGACTCTCAGTAATGCGTACGTATAGAGCGCAATTTCTGATTCCTAATGTATAATAATTTCCGCTACGATATTAGACCTGTTTTCTATGGCCGAACTAGAAATCATATACACTTTTGAAATTTAAAGTGAGGTATGTATGTGTTTGATATTTGACGAAAGAGCGAAGAAGAGAATTCTAGTGCAACCTATATAGTGCAGGAATAAAAAATAGAGCTATTGAAGAGCGTAAAAAAAACAAGACCTATCCGCGAAATTTTAAATAAACTTCGGAGAAACGAATATTCCATTAGCCTAGAGGAAACTAAAGACGTGACAATTTGCTTTTTTGATTTTATAACCTCTATAAGACATGTACAATTTTTTAACGAATCCTACACAATAGTAAACCTATGCATTAGACAATAACATAATCGAATAAAACAACTTTCTAAAGTATATTATTTGTTACTTAAATTATTTTCCCTACCCCTAAATAGGGATAAAAGTAACACGCGATGAAATTGAGTAGAGATAATTGTAATGCGAAATTTAATTTTACATATAAAACGAATTAGCAAGCGAAATGTTCCTAAAGAGATTTTTATTTCTATTCTGTAGGTATAAACACAATTATGCTAATTTCATATAGTTATCTGTCAAACGTTAGACTGAATGTATTAAAAAAAGCATAGCAATACGCATGCTCATCGTTCGAGAAATTGAGCATCGTATGATGCCATTTCAAGTAAAGCACATAGAACAAATCAAATGGGGAAAAAGTAACATCTTGTTACGTCTCATTTTTCATTAATATGTCATTACACGCTCATTTAACACGTAATAAATTTAACACCTATCTTTAAGCTTAATTTCTATTTAATACAATACTAAGGAAAACAGAGTTCGTATGGTCGATAACTGAATTGAAGGTAGGGTGTAGATTGACGTATATCACAAAAACGAAAGGAAAAAATTATTAATCGATTGGTATATTTTTTATAAAATTTGTTATTTTTATAACATTTACATATCACATTTTCCATGTTACACTTTGTCTCTGGTCTACCTTACTCTACACATGAAAAGTGATAATTACCGATCGAAGAGCACCATGGTTACTTTACGACTAACAATTGACTACTTAGGGTATTGTTTCGAATTGCGCTTGCAGTTTTAAATGGAAATTGGTAGAGTGTAGATTGATGAAGAATACTTAGCAAATAATCTTGAAGGCTACAGAAGAATGCAAAAAGAAATTTTCACAGTAAAGCTTATGTTAACACTAAAGTGCAAAGTGTAATCAATTTTGGACAGTGTACTTCAAGTTGTTATACGATAAAATTGTTTAAACTTCTACTGACAACGATAAAAGTGTCATTGAAACTTCAAAAATGCATTAGGTGCAAAATGTGGAAAAAATGGCAGCTATTCCATGCTACCGACTTTCAATCGCTTATGTATCCTTGCTTCACCTTCTGCAATATACTCGGAATATTTCCGTATCGCATCAACGCTTTGACTTTTGAAACTACGAGAAAGCGTTGTATTTTGACAACCGTCATTACTTGCGTTTTCTGTCTGTTTACTTTAATAATGCTGTATGGGATTGACATTAGTGGAACGATTAAATATGATGACACACCTATAACTATAGAACGCAATTGTTATTTTATATACGGTCTATTTATCGCGGTTGTTACATACATCATGAAAGATCCTCGGATGCACTTACTCCAAAATATAATGGAAATCTCTTTTATATTGTCTCCTAACTCATATCGAAAGCTATCTAGACTGATTCACGCTAAAGATATTTTTGGTTTCTCTTATCTAATCGGACACATAATGTTTTATTATTTTATATTAGATTTTGGTAATACAGACAAGATTCTTATAGCATACATCCTCTTGATAGGATTTCAAATGGATATGTTGTATATGAATTGTGTATGCATATTAAAAGCTTGTTTTAAGGAAATTAACGATAATCTGACGAATTTTCGAATGCTGATTGTGAACGACGAACCACATCTTTTGAGAAAAATTTATCACGAACAGAAGAATCCATTTCTATTAATGAAACTCAAAACAATGAAAACGCAGCATTTGACGATCAGTGACACAGTGCAAATGTTGAATACGATTTTTGGTTTACAGCTTCTTGGTACCATAGTTATAACTTTTGCAGAGTTTACGTTCTGTCTGTATTTTTATATAATTTTTCTCTGGCAAATTAACGTAAATTATGACTACACGTTTCAAATAATGTTATTGAAAATGTCTTTAGCGTATCAATTCGTCAAAATAGTATGGATGGGATGGACTTGTGATGCAGGCAAGGATGAAGCCGTAATGGTCGGTATCACTGTTCATGAAATACTGAACGACACGATAGACAAACAAATAAAAAATGAAGTAAATAAAATTCAATTTATACATTTTTGTGAAGATATCTTGTGTGACAAACTTTATACATTAAATCTGCACAGTTAGAAATGATTTCTTAATTGTATATACTTTTAATAATCTAATCTGATGTTTTAAAGTTGCAGCAATTTTCCTTGCAAGTACTTCATCGGGAAAATATATTTTCCGCTAAGGGTCTTATATTAGACGCAACGCTTCTCGTTGCGGTGAGTGAACGATCATTTGTTTCATATAATGTATATTGCTTATTTATAAATAATTTTAATTTTAGATAGTGAGTAACGTCACTACGTATTTATTAATTTTAATACAATTTTTAATTACCAAATAAGTTTAAAAAGTCAACAAACAATTTCACATTAACGATCAAATTTGAAAATAATTAAATCAAATAAATATATTTAATTATTAAAACGT